GCAGACTGTTACAGCCTCCTGATGAGTCGGTGAAACTCCGACGAAACAGTTTGTCACAGCCCCTCGTTTGTTGTCCTCTTCTCTCTCTCTGCCTACGGTTTTACCGGGCAGTTCTGTTTGTGACGATATATATATATATAAGCTATTTCTCTGGTCCAATATGCCAAAAGTGATGATGCGAGGCATTCTGGCGAATGAACACGGGCAGTACTTTCCCCACTTAAAATTTTTCCTTTTTGAAAGGGCGACGGCCTTGAGATATCATTCTCCAACTGACTGGCGCCAGGTAATTCTGAATCGTTAAATTTCATCATCATTTTTTGCCCCCCACGCCGCCCCTTGTTTTAAGTTTTTTTTTTTGTTTTCTTGCACAGGGGCCATGCTAATCTTCTCTGTATTGTCCCAATTTTAACGGATGTCCCGAAGGACTCGTCATCATTTTCAAAGTGACCGGCTCCAGGTATTTCATTTCATTCATCCAGAGTCACATCTGGGTTCGAACTCAGGTCTGTGTTTCAACAGTTCCCCACTGAATTGTTCCAATTTTAATGGATGTCCCGAAGGGCTCGTCATCATTTTCAAAGTGACCGGCTCCAGGTAATTCCAAATCATTTGATTTCATTCATCCGGAATCACATCTGGGTTCGAACTCAGGTCAGTATTTCAACAGTTCCCCACTGAATATGGCTGTATTCCTGAAAACAGCTTGATGTCATTCATCTACTTCCATCTGGGTTCGAACTCAGGTCTGTCTTCCAACACTTCTCCCCCGAATTTGGCTGCATCCGCCAAACCGTTTAATGTCATCATCAACTTCCATCTGGGTTCGAACTCAGGTCCGTACTTCCACAGGTCCCCACTGAATTTCGTTGTACACCACAACAGCTCGTCACAGACTAAAAGTCCAATTGCATCTATTCTCCTAAAGGACATATTCGCCCCACCGCCTTCTCAGTTCCCCATGGAATCTGGCCCTATAGCCCAGAAATAGGCCGAGTGTGAACATGTTCGGCCTTAGACAATACTTGCACTCGTACATCCTCGCACTACGGTAGTACTTTCTGCACTGAATCTGGCCATAGGCGTTGAGATACAGCCAAGGAAGTAGTGGGAGAGTATGCCCTTCTGTTGGACAGTCAATGCACGTTTTAGCTCTTCTGCAGCATGAAGCTCAGAAGGGTTATGTTTCCATAGCTCTCTACAGATGATTTTGATTGATTTCATCACAAAAAAAAACAGGTAATCACAATACAATGACCCATCAAGTAACTGGCTCTTCCCAGTTCACACCAGGTGTTAGGAGCTTGGGTACTGCTCCCCACACAGAACAGATGTAGGTAGGCGTAGACCCATAACCTTAGGACAGCTTAGCTCTGGCTAGTGAATTTAACTCTGCGTCCATAGGTAGGTGGTGTGTAGTCTTCGACCCTCGCACTCTGGGGCTGGGTTCCTTGCTGGCTGGGTTGCCGTGCCCCTTACTGCTCCCCACACAGAGCAGATATAGGTAGGCGTAGACCAATAACCTTAGGATAGCTTACCTCTGGCTAGTGAATTTAACTCTGCGTCCATAGGTAGGTGGTGTGTAGTCTTCGACCCTCGCACTCTGGAGCTGGGTTCCTTGCTGGCTGGGTTGCCGTGCCCCTTGCAGGTTTGGAAGGTGGGTAGACCAGTTCGAGAACACAGCCCGAGGTAGGTAGTGTGAGACTGTGACATGAAAAATACTGAGAGAAGAAAATAGCATAGTAAAATGCAGCCGTCCCCCCATATGAGGAGAATACAGCCTGAATTTAAAAAAAAAAAAAAAAAAAAAAGAACAGACTAGACACCTGGACTGAAAGTCGGTCGAAATTCAGCCATAATGACCAGGCGTTCGGTCCTATTCTGGAGAAGACGGTAGGCAGCAACTAGAGGCAGAGATCTTGCGCAAATGGTGGAGGGTCAGATTATTAATCCAAGGGGACCTGGGAATCTGGGATTGCAAAAGAAGCAGAAAGCGAAATTTTTGGCAACAATACAGGGTCTATGTGTCAAATGCAAAGATTGACTTAAGGAGATTCAGCGAATGCTAGACAAGGCAGCCTTCCGCAAGAAGCACAGGATCCTATGTGGACATGACAGCCAGTAGTTCTCCTTCAACATAGATCAGCTAAGGATCCTATGTGGACAGACAGCCGGTAGTTCGCCCTCAACCTCCTCCTTGCGGAAATCAACCAAGGTTTTGGGCTTAGGGTTTAGGTGCATTATCAGGACATACAGCCAGTAGTTCGCCTTCAACTTCCTTCTTGCGTAAATCAGCTCAGGATCCTATGTGGACACGGCAGCCGGGAGTTTGCCCTCAACCTCCTCATTGCGCAAATCAACCAAGGATGGGTTTAGGGTTTAGGGTTTAGGGTTTAGGCGCATTATCAGGACATGACAGCCAGTAGATTGCCTTCAACTTCCTTCTTGCGTCAATCAGCTCAGGATCCTCTGTGGACATGACAGCCGGTAGTTCGCCCTCAACCTCCTCCTTGCGGAAATCAACCAAGGATGGGTTTAGCGTTTAGGTCTTAGGCGCATGTCTCTTATACACATCTAGATGTGTATAAGAGACAGTCTCTGGACATGCCATCAACCTCCTCCTTGCGAAAATCAACCAGGGATGGGTTTAGGGTTTAGGGTTTAGGCGCATTATCAGGACATGACAGCCAGTAGATTGCCTTCAACCTCCTTGAGTAAATCAGCTCAGGATCCTATGTGGACATGACAGCCCGTAGTTTGCCTTCACCTTCCTTCTCGCGTAAATCGACCAAGGGTGGGTCTAGGGTTTAGGGTTTAGGGTTTAGGGTGTCGGCGAGTTATTAAGTCGTGAGAGGAGCGGCAAAGAATGGCAAGCTGACAGGCAATCCTGCAGGAGCGGAGTGATCGATGCCAATCATCAGGGGAACTTCAGCCAAACGGAAAGAAGCACAAGTACATAGGGGCCTCTTCACACCACGGTCGAAGTGAAAAAAGTATGAGTGCATCTTCCCGCAGAGTGTGGCAAGATGAATTTGTAATGGGCACATCTTACCACGTGTTGTGCTTTCATAGAATCCTTACAGAATTTCTTGCTGTCTACGTGGTGTTGTGCTTTCGCATGATGCGTACGTGTGTTTGCATGTTTCTTTTAATGCTCTGATGGATATGGACCCAGGACCATAAGAACCTTCTCATTTGTTTTTTTTTTGTTAGGAAAACATAAGGAAACTGATTTATCCGGAAAAAAATCAAAATACGAGGACGTACCTGTGCTTGCAAACATGACACCCTTTCTTCATGCTGTCCGACACAAGCCTTGAGGTCATCACGTTGCCGCTCAAGATCTAGCACTCGCCTCTCAAGCTCCTTGCGATTAAGGTCTTCATTACCAACTCTCCGATCCGCATTGCCCTCCACCTCCCACAATTTCTTCTCTGCTTCCTTTGCACGATATTCTGCATCTCGCACCCTTGCTTCTGCCATCCTCACATCCCTCTCTCTCTCTTCCTTCGTGGTCACCCTGGATGCCAGTTCCTCCGCAAGCTTGTCGCCTTTTCTCTTCACTTTGTCCGCCGTCATTATAAGATCTTGCTTAAGCCTATCAACCTCGACCCTTGAATGAAAACCAGACAACAGACCGCCCCACCCACCCCGCCAAAAAAAAAGAGCAACACCGAAGTTCATTTGGGGAAAAAAAAAAACAGATCGAGAGGCAAAATGGAGGGGGAGATACCAAAAAAAAAAAGAAGAAGCTGAAGATCTTGCTTAAGCCTATCAATCTCAACCCTTGAATGAAAACCCGAGTAGACCCCCCCATCCACCCCCCCCGACCCACCCGCCCCAAAAAAAAGCAACACCGAAGTTCACTTAGAAGAAAAGTAAAACAGATCCAGACGGAAAAAGGAAGGGGAGATGTGAAAAACAAAAAAACAAGGAAGTGAAGATATGAATGATTAAAACCATCTGGATCACTTGTACATCTTTCTGAGGAGAATTAAAGGAAATCGACGCTGCCAGGGTTTCAAGGCCGGGATGCCTGCCCGATCGTCCACACGGGCCTCTGTCACGAAAGAAGGTACCGCCCGCAGCCTCTGTCACAAAAGCAGGTACCGCCCGGTAAATCCGCATTGAAACTTTTGTGAAAATGGTATTTCTGAATTTTCTGTAACTTTCCACGCATATTTGCCTCGATGCACTGGCGGACCAGTATGTACTTGCTATGATACTTGTCCAAAGCGGTATTTCTCCAATTTCCAAGGCCGGGATGCCTGCCCGGGCGTCCACACCTCTGGTAACTGGGACTTGGCTGCTTGAGGGTTAGATGCAGAGTCAGCCTGGCGAATCTCTTTGGCTGGCCAAAGCAAGAACAAAACTGCGCCACTCCAGTTCATTTCATTTTTGGCGAGCAGCGCACAATCCGCCTCGGCAAAAAAGAGGCTCGGAGATGCTGGCGGTTTGTATGAGAATCGAAAAAAGCAGTTCGGAAAAGAAATATGTTGTAGAGGGTTCTAAGTTCTAATTTCTAGTACGAATAAATAGCATTTTTTTTTTTTCTTTGCGTTTTTTTTTAAACGGACTTGAGATATCATCTTCCAACTTACCAGCCCCAAGAAACTTCAAAATTATTTGCTCCTCTGAGTTGATTGGAATCCAAACCCAGCATATGAGCGTACCAACTGGGCTAGGACCATTGGAACGGGTTTTGGCTGGCGCACACCTCCACATTCTTAAAAACCGAAGATTGTAATAAAAAACGACAATAAAGATAACTTTTGCAAATTCAATTCAATTCGGATTTCTTGGGGTAAATTGGACAGATATCCAGGTCCCGACAGTCCGCCAGACAGACAAACTTGTGCATCTTGGCAGCCTAGCTGAATGGTAGATACAATGGCAAGCACGTAATTGCTGACGAACAGATCACAAGTTCAAATCCTAATGAGATCCAGTGAATACATAAACCTGCAGGGCTGCCCCCGTTTACGAGTGCAAACAAGACAAAAGTGTTTTGAAATGAAACAGATGGATTCCGCAGTGGCCATGACAGAGCCAACCAAGTGAAGTACCTCGAGGCTTCTGCAGCAGCTTTTGTCTCAGCAAGCTCTCGCTCGACAGCAGCCCTCGTAAGCTCCGCGTTCAGAACTCTCTCCCCCCATTTCTCCTTCTCCCTCAGTAAGTCGTTCACCTGGATTGTATTGCAAGCCCCGCAGGTAACCAAACCGACAAAGCAGCCATACAATACAGACGGCAGAATGATAGAACAACATAGACAGAAAACGCCCCCGACACACAGGCACAACCACGACAACGCATCCACACGGACGCACACACCCAACCAGCCACCCACACGTGCATGTGCACAGATACACCCACAGATGCACACGTTCAGACTCTAACGTTGACAGATATGTCCAGACATGTACACAGACACACACATAGACACATACATGTACGCATACACAAACATACACACACACACACACACACACATGCACACACATGCACACACAGTAAAAAAAAAAAAAAAAACGAGTGTCAGATCAACCAGCTAGACCGCAACTCTCCACGCTCTGAAAGTTTTAACGCTCAGAAGAATGCACTTTCAAATCTTAAAAAAATCAGGTGCGTAAATTAGGTGCTGATCTTTCCCGAAGAGGTATTTGAAAAATAAACCTGAAAATCAGTTAAAGAAATCCTAAGGGTGCAAAATAAAATCTCACAGACTAGAACATTTTGCACACCTTTGCATGAGCAGCAGATTGCAGGGATGATGGTCACTGCCATGATGGACCGTCTTCCCTGTGAACATGCAAACTGTGTGAGAAAATATCCGATAACTAGGCACACGGAGTGCAATTCGGTACTCAAAAAGTGGGCACTGATACGGGCATTCAGCGCATACCACGTCCACAAGAATAAAAGACCACACTGGATTGAGTGGGTGTTTTACTATGAGACAGTTCTTCTTCCCTTACCTCCAACAGCCTGTCTGCAGCCTCTTTCTTCACTCTGTCCGGCTCTCTTAAACCACCAGTACATGGCCCCAGGCAACTGGAGAACCTGTTTTGAGCCTCTCCGAAAATTTAGGAGGCCGAGCGCCGTAGATAAAATGAATCGGCGGCGGATGGCCTCCGAAAGGGAGCCCCGGCCGATAACTGGCATGTACTGGTGCTTTAAGAGCTGGTGGTAGAGGCAACCAGGGAATACCACGTCCACAAGAATAGAAGTCCACTGGTTAGAGGGGATGTGTTCTTTTATGAGAGAATTATTCTTCCCTTACCTCTGACAGCCTGTCTGCAGCCTCTTTCCTCCCTCTGTCCAGCTCTTTCAAGAGCTGCTGCTCTTGGTCCTGCTTCTCCTCTACAGCTGCCTTTAGCTTGGCAAGTCCTGTTCTGCCTTGCGGATTTTCTCCTCCCAGACACATCGAATGCTCTTTGATACTGAAAAGTGGGCGCTAATAGGGTCATCCAGCGCATACCATGCCCACAAGAATAGAAGACTACATTGGTTGGAGGGGGTGTTGAATTATGAGAGAATTCTTCTTCCCATACCAGATACACCGAGTGCTCTTCGGTACTCGAAAGTGGGCACTAATAGGGGAACCAAGGACATACCACGTCAACAAGAAAAGAAGACCACCGGGTGGAGGGAGTGTTGGACTATGAGAGAATGCTTCTTCCCATACCAGAGACAACGAGTGGATTTCCGTGCTCAAAAGTGGGCACTAATAGGGGCATCGACGGCGTACCACATCGACAAGAAAAGAAGACTACACTGGTTGGAGGGGGTGTTGGATTATGAGAGAATGCTTCTTCCCTTACCTCCGACAACCTGTCCGCAGCCTCTTTCTTCACTCTATCCAGCTCTTTTAAGAGTTCCTGCTCTCGGTCCTGCTTCTCCTCCACAGCTCCCTTTAGCTGGGCAAGTTCCTGTTCTGCCTTGCGGATTTTCTCCTCCCACCTCTTCCCTTCCTCAGCCACCATGTCTACTTTCTGATTCGCTGCTTCAAGATCCCGGGCTTTCCCCTCCAATAACCCCTTCATGTTTTCCACCTCCCCAGCTTTCTGCTTCAACTCTGCGATCACAGTCTCCTTGTCCCTGTGCGCATCTGCAAGAACGCTGTGCATAGTATCGATCTGCAACCTGCAATTCCCCAGCTGAGCTCGGATCACCTCCAGTTGCTGCCGTAGACCCAACGCCTCGACCCTTGCCTCTTGGAACTGAGCCTTGTACTGCTCGATTCTTATCTCCGCCCTCAAAACTTTCTCCTGGAGCTTCACCCTCGTCTGCTCTATCTCAGCATCCATGATCCTGTTTGCTGCCTGCCCAACCTCGTCAATAAGCTGTCCCTGCCCACCTGTCAACCCCGGACTTTTGCCAGCCTCTTCGAGCATCGCCTTGTAGATTCGATACTCCTTTTCAGCCTTCTTGAGGCAAATCCGCGTCTCCTTGAGCTCCTGGTACTCTGTCGTATCTTCCAACCAAATATCACTGCTCAAAACAAGCTCTCGACTGTCCTCCACAACAGTCCGTTCCTCGGCGTCACCGAAGTCGCCACCATCGCTACAACCACGGCCTTCCACACCGTTCGACTCCCGACCGTCCTCCACAACCGTCCGCTCCTTTTCGCTGCACAACTTGCAATCAACACTGCAAGGACAGCCTCTCCGCCCTTTTGGCATGACAGCAAAGCAATCCCCAGGATTGCCAGCTCCGTCATCACGGCTGTCCCCCTCCCCTTCACTACCTTCTCCCTGCCTGCATGGCCCAGGTGCTCCTACACCCTGTCGTAACAGAATCTGCAAGCCCTCGGGCCCCTCGGAACTTCTCATATCCCTTGCATGCATCCTTGACAGTCTTTTGGACAACAGCCTCTCTGCTTCTATAGCTCTCTCATTTGCAGACTTCAACTTCTCTTGCATATGCTCTCTCTCTGTTTCAACTTCTTCAATCTGCACAACAAAGACACCCATCTCCCATTTCACTACTAACCAGAAATATGTAAACCTACCCAGCCCATGTGGGCCCAATGCTACACCCATGTACCTGTTGATAAACAGACCTGAGTTCAATTTGATGAAAAAAAAAAAAAAAAAAGGCTCTGATTTACCTGGGGCCAGTCAATTTGATACTGAAACCTCCAGATGCCTGAGGGAGTCAGATGAAAAGAAAAAAAAGGCTCTGATTTACCTGGGGCCAGTCAATTTGATACTGAAACCTCCAGATCCTCGCCGTTTTTTGACGTTTTGATTCATAAAAACGACAATCCTTACACTCCCCCAATTCTCTCTCTCTCTCTCTCTCTCTCTCTCTCTCTCTCTCTCTCTCTCTCTCCCGAATACTATGCCATCCTTACACATGAACACAGAACTAAAGAGTGACTAGCCTATCCCCAGGTGATTGTGGCGTCTGTGTGATGGTGGTGTGGCATCCATGTTTCAGCAACAGCTGTCTTGGGTAAGGGACCTCCCCCTGTTCTCTCCGGGCTATACACAATGAAAACAGGATGTAGTCACATCCATGTATGTGCAAATTCTGTTCTAACTTGCCATGGACATGTCTGCGCAAATTATGTGCCAACTTAGCTGAGCCTGGTGTAACAGGTTATGACGAATAGCCTATGCTAATTCTATGCCAACAGAGCATGAACCTGGCCTACCACGTTGACTAGACCATGGGCGTACTATCATGAATATCAGCATAGCACCGTACATAAGACAGGACAAGCTTGAACCTGGAGTAACAGCTTATGGTAAATAATGTGGTTCACAGATCCGTACAGACAGGCGAAAAGTCCTCCATGCGAGCACGGATTCGAACTGGCGACCTCAGCCTCAGAAGCCAAGTATCTTAGCCACTACAGCCAGGACACGGTGTTCAAAAGTGGAACCATACCGTTCATGATATCCACCCCATCCCCGCAAGGCTGTAGTGTCCAACGCAACCCCCACACCACACACAACACCACATGGGCACATCATACGGACGCAGCAAGCCTGTGCTAATTCTGTGCCAGTGGAGCGTGAACTTGGCCTAACATGTTGACTAGATCACGGTTGTACTATCATGAATACGACCAAAGCATCTTATCACGGCTGTACTACCATGGATATGAGCAAAGCATCTTACATAGACAGTACAAAACCAACTTGTACTAGCAAGCATAGACCATCACACACTTCACAAAACCCTCGAACATCAGAGCAGCCCGAGGGATGTGTAAATTGTGTGGGATAGTCTGTGCTCGTGATATTCCACTAGTAGATAGCCACTAACCTATTACACCGATCTCATTTGATCAGGATTCGAACTCATGATCTGTTTATTAACAGTTATATGCGCGACATTGCTCGTACCATTTAGCCACATGGCTTGGTCTGTAACCGCTTCTGAAATATCTACCATCAGTCTCAAACAACCAGGGCTGCATGGCTCCAGAGGGCTTTCTGCAATCAGGGCAGTCTACTTGAGGAGCTTTGGACCGCTGCATGGGTCTACATAGCAGTGGCCGGGTGACGTCCCCGACAAGTCGAAGGAAGTCCTAAATGTGAGCACGACCTGAGAAATGTTTGCATCAAAGATAATGATGAGTGAAAAGCATAGCTACTGTCTCACCCAGCAAATTCTGCCGAACCAAGTTCTCAAACACCTGTCCGACGGTAACATCAAGGGCTTTCGAGTTTGAGGGCATACTCACAAGCGGTGTAGTTCCCGTCGGGGAAGTTGAAGTCAGTCCTCATGTGGCCAGCACGGGAGACTCTCTGAGAGAGCTCGCAGCCAAGGTAGTGACGTCTGAAAAGCATGCTTACTATCCCAACATGAGAGCATGACATGCAAGATTGGCAGCCACGATAACAGTGAGTGAAAAGCATTGTTGCTGTCTAAACATGTGGACGCGCACGATGATTGCCCGGATGGCACTAGCCGGAATAACCCTGTCCAGATCCCTGTCCAAAAACAACTTTACCAGGTTGTGAGAATTAATAAAATTAACAATTCAAGAAAACAAACGAAAAAGGTAGCTGCATGATGTAATACTGTTCACCTAGCCTGTATCCGGGTCGTCCTCGAAGATTCGGGGTGTCCCACTGTCCCTATGGTAGCACACAGGGTGCCTGTCGCTCTTCGGAAGGTGCGGGTTGGTGAAGGTCTAGGTCTGGATAGAGAGGTCTGGGTCGCGCCGCTATAGCGCTCAACTTGCGATAAGATTAGGATATAACAGGTCACAAATGATACCCCCTGGAGAAAGACTGTCCCTGGGGTTGGCACAAGCCATCTGATCCCCTCACTGGTACAGTACGACGACAGGCACCTCCCGAGGCCTAGCATCCACCCTCTACTACAACATGGACCAATTCTGAAAAGGAAAAAAAAAAAAAAAAAGGTATTCTTTCCAGTGCTGCAGTACAAACAATACTTGGGGAGCGTGAACCATCGTCCCAAAAATACAGTGGCATCTTCTGCCTCTCTCCGCAAATGTGGATAAGCGCTGGCTTCCATTACTCACAAGTGCACTAGGGAACATATGTACAAATCTGAGATCCCTGCAAAAAAAACGAAGTTATTCCTAACTGCATGACTAGGGAACATATGTACAAATCTGAGATCCCAAGTTATTCCTAACTGCATGAAGTGTAAGACAGTAAGAGGGGAGGAAACATGTGCTAAGCTCTATAAAACCAAGTTGCAGTGAAAGTTGTGAAACAGGTCAGGACCACAGCAAATTCATGAAATGAAGCGGCAAGGCCAGAAACAAAAGGCACCTCACTCTTGATGGTAGGCTGCACAGTACACACCTGAACAAGCTGGATCATAAAGGAAATCGCCGAACCCTGTTGCAAACAAATACTATTGAGACCCAGGGAATCCGCCGTCCTTTGGGGAAATGAAGTGAAAAGCACCCAGCCGGCAAGCGGTACGAAAGAAGCCGCGCAACCGCAAAGAATCGACCCGCTGCACACATTCCTTGCATGTTATACATTTTGATGATTTTGTAAAACTGAACAACCGATTGAACAATCAAATTGTCCATCCTGTCGCAAAGCAGCAACTAACTGACAAAAGTGGACTCCCGGGGAACACCTTGCCTTGCTGTTAAAGAGAACCATTCACTGACGCGATTCCACATTCATCGACGCGATCCCTTATTCATTGATGCAATTCCACATCCATCAACGCAATTTCACATTCATGGGTGCAATTTAAACCGACGTCACCGTGCAAAAATAGCATTTGTGCAACTCAGTTGCGTGAAATTTTCACAATGTACACCAATGAGACTTGAACAGGCTAAAAGTAAAAGCACCGTGAGGTCTGACACCACGCTCAGCTTTGTCCTCATCAGAGTCGCGGACAAGCTCTGTCAACCTCTCAAAACATAGCCACAAAGTTACGAGGGTCGCCATTCATCAGCAGCCCACGTCACCCAGCGGGTAATAACCTTTTCGCAGAGCAGTCGTCTGTCACTCATAGCCAAGACTTGCTCTGCAGATATGGGGGTCGCGATTCATCAAGGTGACAAACAAGGCTGGTCACTGTCTTAGGGCATAGCCACAGTGCCAGAAGACGCCCCAGAAGAAGCCCCAGCCATGGGCGTGATAATCTTTCACCTGTTGCCAAGGTTTGGCCGAAAGATACAACAATCATCATTCCCCGTCGTACACGTCAGGGAAGAACAAGCCTCATGCGCTACGCCGTGTAACAGGTTGCCGGCAATGATTACGTAAAAATAAAGGTTTTCGTTCGCTCCGGCCCTCTCAGCCTTCACCCTGGTGCTGTGAAGGGTTGAGGTTTGTGGTATAGATCTGCAAGCTTAAACCGTCAGTACACGGCCCCAGCCGTGCTAAAAGATACTCCTCGCCTGGTCCAAAAAGTCCGGGGCCGGCGCGCCGTTGATAAAAATCATCAGCGGCCCGCATCGCGTTTCAGCCTCTGAAAGGGGCCCGCGGCCAATGTATGGCAAGCACTGGTGGTTTAAAGAGTCGGGAGTTGCACTACCACAGTGTCGCTAATCATCTACTTGTCACTCACATCTACTCTTAACACCGGATTTCATTTCAGACGTTGGCCTTTGTCTAACTGCATATGCAGCCCGTACAACAACCTTGATGTAGGTCATGTAATTGTGTCACTACTACTACCAGTATCTCTGAGGAGAAATAATGTCAAATATCGACAGTGGAAGTCTTCATCCCTAGGTCAGCAAGAATTCGTCACTCTTACCTCATAAGCCCACAGAAGGTGATTCATAACCTTCCACAATGAACAGGCCCGGTACTCCAATAAACGCTACACAGCGGTTTCACAGCGGTTCCACCGTACAACTTATGAATGCTATAACTCACATGTGCGAATGATCTGCTTGTTGCTCGCATCTATTTTTTATGAATCCCGCTGCTTCCTCCCGACTGCAACCAATCGCTAAGCAATCTACTTCATTTATTTCTTGCCGGGGGGGGAAAAGGGGAGGAGACGGGAAAAAGGGGTTACTTTTTCTCAGTATACGTTTTAGGAGTGCTCTTATTAACCACGGATTGAACCGTGGCCATTTGATAACAGAATCTTTCACAATCTGATGCACAGTGAAGGATGACCAGTTCACGGGCTGATGCATTGCCAGAAAAGTAGGAGTTCACCATCTAATGGATATTCAAGAATGAAGGGTTAACTTCCCAATCGAGCGTGAAACTTCCATGCAGAAGAAAATTACCAAGCAGCCATCATCACCCTATTCATTGCTTTTGCGTTTTCAAACTTGGACTGCAACCTCCCCCTTGTCAGGAACAACCTATCCTAACCTCTTTTTTCTTTTCTTAAGGACTCTATTTGTGGACAAAACAGGGTACCTAAATAACCTGTCTAGTATCTACACAGACCAACTATCGAATTCGGGTACGCTCGGATACAATGTCCTTAAGTCCGTACGAGGGAAGCGTGAAGATACCCCACGAGGGGGCAAGTTGTCATCTTATCAGCCCCTAAAGGGGGCATCTCATCCTCCTCTTATCAACACGTGAAGCACCCATCCGGTCCTCTTATGAGGCCCTAGATATCCTGTCTATGCAGACAAACTGTCCAAATCTGCTGAGCTCGGGTTACCATGTCCACAAATCCATACGAGGGCAGTGTGAATATACCCCTCGAGGGGGCGAGCTATCATTTTATCAGTTCCTAAAGGGGGCACCTCATCCTCTTATCAACACCTGAAACAACCATCTGGTCCCCTAATCAGCCCCTTGATATCCTGTTAACACAGACAAACTATTAAAATCTGCTAAGCCCGGATGCGATGTCCTCAAGTCTATACGAGGGCAGTGTGAGTATACCTCTCGAGGGGGCGAGTTATCTCCTACAGGCCACAGGAAAGAGTCTCTCTTGTATCCACCCCCCAGGGTGCATTTATTAGCCCCTAGAGGGGCCACTAATCAACACTTAAAACACCCATATATGATCCTCTTAATGAGCCCCTAGAAAGAGCATCTTATAACCCCGTAGAGGGGGTGCATTTTATCCTCTTATCGAGCACACCTAGAGCAACCATCTTGTCCTCTTATCAGCCTTTACAGGGTATATCATATCCCTCTTACCTACCCAATCCAAAAAACTACTACCGAAGAACTACCAATGTTTCGTACTACTACCACAGTACTAAAAAATGGCCTGCACTACTACCACAGTAGTACAGTTTGATCCCATCCAACGGTTGCGTGATCCCCACTCTGATATCTCTATAGGTCCAACGACAGTTGGACTCTGACCACATGGAACCACATGGAACCATCCTGCCTCCGAGCCTACAGTACGGGAATGCCCCAAAGCCGTCATTTGTGTGTTCAATTTTCCTAGAGTAGAGGAAATGCCCAAATGAATATTCATCGTCCCATGACCCACAACGGTTGGATCCAATGATTGGTCCTCAGGGAACTCATGCGTTCAACTTTTCCCACCATGCGTGGCCCAGATGCATTTGTTAGTGTTTGGCAAGTGGTGTGGAGAGCCCCTAAGGAATCCTGCAGCTACCAACAGTCGAAGCAATCCTACAGCTGCCCATTCCCACTGCTACAAAGGCTGTTCTGTAACTTTCTTCAAATAACACACGTAATTCAAAAGAGCAGTAGATCATGCCATTTTTCTACCCACCTAGACCTCAAATGACCCACCTGTGCCCGTCTTGCTTCTCGTGCCCTCTCTACCGTAATCAACCCCATTTTCATCACCAAGTTATTCCAACCCTTAGCGCTAGCTGTCGTTCCATAAAGCAGGCCCCAGTGTGTCTTTTCCTCACTCTCTGTTGACAATTCAAGACCCCCAGAAGAATGCCATGATAAATGCCCCGTCCCTTCCCCAGTGCTCAACTGACTTCCAACCAGTCGACTTCGCTACAGAATGCCATTACCATTTTCCTTTCCCAGTGCTATGCAGACTTTGCTCTACACTCTCTGTTCACAACTTGAGAAACCCGGAAGAATATCACGACACATGTTCCCTCCCCAAAATTAAGCTGACTTCCAACCTGTCGACTTGGACACGGAACATGTTCATTTCCCAATGCTGAGCTGAATTCCAACCAGTCGACTTGGGTCCAGAACGCCATGATCATGTTCCTTTCCAAGTGCTAAGAAGACTCCACTATGCCTTCTTACAATGATTCGGCGCGCTCGCCACACAACTACCACCCCAGTGAATAATACGCCAAGCTGTGCGTGTCCCATTTCTTGACGTCTTCTGCCATTACTGACCCCCAGCCTGGAATACTGGCAGTCGATCATAGACGAAGGCCCTAGCCGCTTCCCGTCTTTGCACCTTTGAAATTGAGAACCCCAGCCAGCAAGCATATCCTCCCCCTGTCCGTCTGCCAGTGCCTCATTACCACTCCCCAGCTCTCCTCCTTAAATATCATCAACGCCCTAGAAACAATTGCATCCACCTCAGCGATAACCGCAAGAGAAGCTGGCAGCAAACCCATGACATCACCATCGCCACATCCACACAACAGACACGTTAAACCGCATCTCCAAAAAGATCATTACCAATCCTCACAATTCAACCCTCCTCGGTGCTCCCTCTGTCTCTCTCTCTCTCTCTCTCTCTCTCTCTCTCTCTCTCTCTCTCACACACACACACACACACACACACACACACACACACACACACACACNCACACACACACACACACACACACACACACACACACACACACACACACACACACACACAGAGAGAAGCACCCTCCATCTAGCTGTTTTGCAAGCTACGAGAAGAGTAGCATCCCAATGGGAAGAACACATTCAGCCCCAAGAATGATCCTTGGAAGCAAATCAAACCCTCCCATGGGAGGGCAAAGAAAGTAACGCACACCTTTTTCCTCAAGGCAGACTCTGGGTTCACTTCTGCCCTTTCCGTCCGCAGCTTCTGGATTTCCTCCTCTAACCGCTCACACTTCTCTTTCCACTGCTCCGCCTCGGACTTCTGACTTGCCCCCTCCTTCTCCAGCTCCTCTGCCTTTTCTTTGGTGGAGAGAATTTCAAGCTGCAGTTTTGCAACTTTTGCTCTCAGCGACGAAACCTGCAATCAGCCAGACAGTTTCGAGTATTAGAGTTAAAGATTGAAGCTTGGAGGAAGGAGGGAGGGAGGGAGTTAAAATCGGGGCTTAAACCACCATTGCTCTCGAAACAAATTTATGGGACACACAAACTTAAGCGTGGAGCATCTGTTCAGAAAAGTTTTGGGCCTACCGAACCGCCACCGACCAGAATGGTGCATGCTTTAGAATTGCTTTAGGAGCACTGGTGCAGTTGCAGTTTTAATTGAAGTACACATGACTTCGCAGAAACGGGGGTTGCACTTTCACAGCTGCCGCTTGAAATTCTATCCACAAAAGAGAGGGCAGAGGAGCTGGGGAAGGAGGGGGCAAGTCAGAAGTCCGAGGCAGAGGAGTAGAAGAAGAAGAAGAAGAAGAAGAAGAAGAAGACGAAGGAGGAGGAGGAGGAGGAGGTTGAGGAGGAGGAAGGGCTTACCTCCTCATTTGCTTTTGGCAAGCCCACTACCTGTCAGTTTGTCAAGTCGACTCTCAGAAGGACAACAGTGTGCAAAAGGAGATGATAAGGAGACAGAAAAACAGAAGAAAAAGACAGTGAACATGAAGGATGTATACAATGTTAGACAGTGAACATGAAGAATGCATAGTGTAAGCGAGGGTAGCAGTGTTGTTCACGTGCCACGGCACCAGAATCAAATGCCAAAAGGGAGAAAAGAAAAACCAATAAGAGAGAAACCAGACAGCCCCCGGAATCGTTCAAAACATGCGATTTTGACAGGGGTAAGAAGAGGAGGAGCAGCAGGAGAAGGATGAAGTCATTTAAGACATGCCATTCTGACAGACGTAAGAAAATGATGAGGAGAAGTAGTAGGAAGCGCATACCTCATTCTTTGCTTTCGCAACATCCTCCAGAGCTTCATCTCGCTCTGATCTTGCACGTGCAGCTTCCAACCTTGATGTTGCAGCCTCCGTGATCAATTCCTTCACGCGAGCATCTAGCCGTTCGGCTTCACTTTGATAATGCTGCAATGACAGGAAGGCCCAAGAGTGAGTGAGAGAGAGCATGCCCGCGGAGAACAGACGCCACTCTGCATGAATTCTTGCTTCTTCCAAGCACACAACCTTCCAATAGAGTAATCACCCACTGTCCAGACATATACACAATCAAATCCAGGCAAAGCGCAAGAGGGCGAGCGGGCGGAGGGTGTGTGATGGGTGATGATTCGATTCGAGAAGGGAGAGGGGACGGCAGAGCAGAGGGAGAGCGAGGGACAGAGAGACCACTTACAGCCGGTATTCCACCAGCCCACTGCCTGGCTGCGAAATAATGAATGGTCGAGACAAATCCGGACAAAACATGAATGGTGTGAAACATGAATGGTGTGATGGATTATGAATTGAGAAGGGAGTGGAGAGGGAAGAGTAGAGAGAGATTGAGAGACAGAGAGGCCCCTTACAGACGGGTGTGATGGATTATGAATTGAGAAGGGAGGGGAGAGGGCAGAGCAGAGAGAGATTGAGAGACAGAGAGACCCCTTACAGACGCGGTATTCCACCAAGGCCACGGCCTGGCTGTGAAATAATGAATGGTCAAGTCAATGCCTACTCATGGGCAGGTGCTGTCACATCACAGAGCCCAGCGTCTAGCTGTCCTAGGTGAATGATGGTATGACTCATCGGTGAGCCCTCTCAGGTCCCGAGGCTCGACAGGCATGTTTTCTTGCCTGGCACCCAACCTCCCTCACCGGTTACCAGACCGTGTTTTCATACATCTGATGCACAAAGGGCCCTTGTGCTGCAAACAATAGAAGGAAAAAAGAAAAGCGTTTTTTTGGTACAGAAAGAGAAACAAAAGAAGACAAAACAACATGCTGCAGCGCATGTAGGACTTCACGGACAGCCCACAAAAAAATTAGACAAAAACACGTCAGTAAAATTTTATCAGCCTGGGCGCCCAGGCCACCCCAGGTCGCCTGGAAGGGCGCTCGGGGCGCCCGGCCGTGCAACCCCCCCGGCCAGCCCCCGGGCCCCCACAGCGCCGCCCCCCAAATCGCTTCAAAAAAAAAAAATTGCGCTGTGGGCTGGAGGCCCAGAGGGAAAATACAATTTTGGCGGCCGCCCAAATATTTTTTGCGATCCGGTAGGCCCCGTTCCACACTTCTTTTTTTTCGGGACCTGGGCCGTCGATCCGTGTTGACCGATGGCGCGGAAGTCCCAAGATTTTGAATTTGAATCCTGAGAACTTACCGCGTGGCCCTGCGCCCTCCGCCCTACCCCCCCGCACCAGCTCGTTGTTTCCCCGCCGTTCTTGCATGGTCGTCCACGCCATCGTTATCTTCACCCTGCCGAGCCATCGTCGTCATCACCCTGCTGCCCTCCAGCGCGCCACCATCGTCGCCGTCCAGCCACGCCATCCTCCTTGCCCCTGACGAAGACTGCCCGCCATCGCCAACTCAGGTAAGTTTTCTTCTTCTTCTTCTTCTTCTTCTTCTTCTTCTTCATCTCTACTATGTCTTTGTTTGTTCTTCTTTATTTTGCCTCATTCTTTTTCCTCTCTTTCTGCTGCTCCATTTCGTCATGTTCTTTTCCTTCTTCGTCGTTTCTTCGTCTTCTTTTCTTTTTTTCTTTGCCGTTTCTTCTTCTATTTGTTCTTATTCTTCATCAGTTCTTTTTTTCTTCGTCTCTTTCTTGTTGCCGCCTCTTCTTCTTCTTCTTCTTCTTCTGCTGCTGCTGCTGCTGCTGCTGCTGCTGCTGCCCACTTCTTCCTCCCTGTTTCTTCCTCCGCCATAGCGCTTCATCAACAAATCGTCATCTTTCTTTTTTTGGGGGGGGGAATGCTTGATTATGCTTCTGCTCCATCTGCCATAGCCTCCCTCCTCCCTCCATAGACTCCCTACCCCCTCCTCCTCCATCAGTCTTCCTTCCCTGTCCTCCTCCCTTGTTAGACTCTGTTACATGCCCAGATGGGCGATGTACATAATAACCGAGGATCCGCAATGTGATAAAAAGGACTGAATGGGCAATGCAATGCAAGTGGAATCTCAACAAGCAATGTGCATTTTGATACGTACAGAATGGTGCTTGATAGCGCAGGGAAGACTTAGATACAAATCCTGACCTGACCGGGACTGACCTCATTCACGTAGCACAAGATAGCAAAGCAGAATGCTAGAATGCAAATGGCTAGCCCAATCAATGTTTAAACGCAGACCAAACATGCATCATGTCCATCACAAGGTGTGAAGGAGCCTGGCGCTATACACAAGAAAGAGGCGCCAGGTCCAGATACATAGACGAAGAGGAGGGGATCAGACGAAGAAGAGGAAGGGGGAGATGGGAAAGTCGTCAACACCAAGTCTCGTTCCAAGTCCCAAATAATACCTCTTCGAGATGTCTGAAGTCCAATGTCAAGTCTGGATCCAAATGTCACCAAGCTCTCTCTCTCTCTCTCTCTCTCTCTCTCTCTCTCTCTCTCTCTCTCTCTCTCTCTCTCTCTCTCTCTCTCTCTCTCTCTCTCTCTCGTAGTCTGCTGATGCAGTGAAGTCAGATAGCGAGAGGGTAAGAAGGAGATGGTGGACTGAGAAGAGGAAGAAGAAGCACTCTCTCTCTCTCTCTTGTATACCAGGTACTAACCTGTGAAGATGGCGCTGTGCTGCAGGTACCCCGAAGACGAAGCTGGAGCAACGGTGCTGCAGGTAAGTATCCCTGGCCTCCGCCCACTCTCTCTCTCTCTAGTGCTACTCTAGCTATGGCGCCATGCGCTGAAGACTACTATTACCGCTGCACGCGCCCGGCGCTGAAGACTAAGGCTAATGCTACTACCGCAACTGCAGCGCTCCTCCAGAGTGCCGCTGCCGAATCCTGAAGACTACTGACTGCCTCCTGCCTACCCGTGAAGTGCATGGGAAGTCCCTACGTACTATATCGGCCTGCCTCCTGACTGCCTCCGACTGCCTGCAGTTGCAGGGCGGGCAGTCCAGGAGGCTGCTCTTGCCAATGCTGAACTGAGTCAGGGACTGGTGCTGCAGCTGTCATGGGAACAGGCCAAAAATAGCCTGTTCCTAAAACCCTGGTTTGGTGCCTGAGTTTCAGGGCAGGTCGGTCTGACGAGGGCCCGAAAATGGCCCTCAGTTTCAGGCTAAAAAGGCTCATGCCGTTTTTAGTCTGAAACGACACAGGGCCTGTAGGCCCCTGTTTCCAGCTTTTCGAGCTGAACAGACATGGGGTCTGTAAATTTCAGGCTTTCGGCCTGAAATTCAGGCTTTTAGCCTGAAGGACGCAGGGCCAGGAAAATGGCCCTCGTGTACAGGCGCAGCATGTAACACCCCCCCCTCCTTATGAAGTCAAGCCAGGGCGACGACGAAGCTGACGATCTGAAGGTGGAACCTGGACGCGGGTGCGGCGTGGAGCCGAGGAGACCGGCTTGCCTTGCATCTTGCGTTCGTAGTGTGCGAGAACGTCCGGAGCTGTTGCTTGAAGTTCCGCACGGGTCAACCAACGGTCAGCTCGATGTGTGCAGTATGCAAAATGTACCAAGTACTCGATTGGCCGGTTGTCGTAACGTCGCTGGAAGATGATGTCGCCAACCTCCTGAAAACCGTCCATAGAGGGTACGTCTTGCGAACGTCGCCCGGGAAAATCGTCATGATCCGCTGGCGTGTAAAGAGCCAACTTGGAGCAATGAAAGACTGGGTAGACGGGCAAGTGCGCGGGCACCTGAATAGTGAAGGAAGGTCCCTCAGGTGCATCCCCAGCAGGTGCCACGATCGGCCAGGGCGCCATCCATTTCGGGAGGAGCTTGCGAGAGATATCTTGTTCAAGGCTAACGAGATCGCCAGCGCGGAACGGGCAAGGAAGACGCTGGCGATTGGCCTGTTGGCTCATGCGTTGCTGCGTCTTGGCCATCTGGTCGCGTGCCTTGACAAGTAGTTCTTGCATTCGACGCAAGAAGAAAAGATGGTCGTCGCTCTCGGCCGTTCGTGGAATGATTGTGTCCAACGGAGAAGTGACCGGCGAGCCATGCTCTAACTCGAAGGGCGACATCCCAATAGTCGGGTGCATGGACGAGTTGTATGCCAACTCGACATCCGGCAGCCGCTCAACCCAATCTGTTTGGTGGGGACAAATGATGCCCTCCGATGTGACAAAATGGCCCAAGTATTCCAGCTCTTGCCGGACAAATTCGCACTTGTCGCGGTTGGCTTTGTACTTGGCGTGGCGGAGCATCTTCAATACTCGTCGAAGGTGCTCAAGATGATCCTCCAATGTCCGACTATAGACGAGGATGTCGTCTAAGTAGACTAGTACAAACCGGTCCAGCATCGCACGAAACTCGTTGGTCATTGCCGCTTGAAAGGTCGCCGGGGCATTGGTGAGGCCAAAAGGCATAACGATCCACTCAAAATGCCCGTACCGCGTCTTGAACGCGGATTTGTAGCAATCTTGCAGGCGTATCGACATTTGATGGTAGCCCGACTTCAAGTCCAACTTTGAGAAGAATTTTGTGCCGCCCAAATGCTCAAGAAGGTCGTCAATCCGCGGACGAGGTCCCGCATTCTTGACGGTTTGTGCATTGAGCTTGTGGTAGTCGATGCACAAGCGAAGATCGGTGAGCTGCTAGGGCGGATCCAGCCCTTGTCCAAAAGATCGTCGAGTTGAGCACGGAGAACCTCGAGCTCTTCCTCGCTCATGCAATAGATGTCGGTGGCACGGCACCGGCCTCAAGAATGATCTCATGGGAGATCGACCGAGCCAGCACCACACCGGTAGGAGACTCGAAGATGTCGCTGAACTCGTCGAGCAGCCGCACCACTCAGGGGTCCGAAGACAAGTCCGTAGGTGAAGATTCGGTCGTCGCAACGGCTCCTAGAAAACATAGGTCTATCTCGTCGGTTCGCTCGTAAGCGCAAGTGGCCCAAAAAGACTTGGCCGTTACAACTTGGCACCGGATCGAGGAGTGCGGTAGAGGAATGGTACACGGCACCTCGGCGCCGAAGGCATCGCGAACGGTAAGTGTCCGATGA